AATAATAATATTTGCGTCTTTGTATTTCCAGTGACTAATTACAGAAACTCAAAAACAAGTATTACAAGTATTACTTTCTCTGCTGTGAAAACCAAATATAATTTCCAAAAATAAAACCAAATATAATTTCAGATGTATTACGTTGTAAATAAAACCAAATATAATTTCAGATGTATTACGTTGTAATTTGGGATGAATTCACTTCAACTGTTCCTTACTGTTGGGTAGATCTTAATGAAAAAACCTTATATTTTTATTATTTCGTATATATATAGATCCAGAGATTGTTCTCCCACTTGAACATGTAAATGTAAACGGCGATATACGAGAAATTTGTGGTAAGTTATATTTTTCTTTAAAGTTCTTTAATAAAAAAATGTAAAGAAATAATCCTGGGATACAAAATATTTTAAAGTTATTTGTAACATTATTGGAAAAATTTATATCTATGCTGATAATGATTAAAATGTGAATGGTACATACACACAAACGCTTTGTTTTGTTTCAGATTGTAACAAATTAATTCGCCACCAGCTTAATCAGTTTGAAACAGAGATGAGAAACGAAATAATTAAAAATAGAACAAAATTGCAGGAAATACTTGCAATTTTAAGAGATAAATATCCAAGAAATGAAGGAAACAATGAAGTAACTATGGATTTAATAACTGATTTGCTATTTACATCCGTCGAGGAGTATGTTCAATTTAACAAGACACTAAAAAATGATGAAACAATTCGTAAATGTTTTGTAAGTATTTTTTTATGTATGAATAACTACAAAAATATGATATATATGAATGTACATATATAGGATATAGATAATTCAAGGTGAATTATTTAGGCATTAATAACAGCTTTGACCGTCATAGGCTTGAATATGATTATACTTAGTGTTTTAATTTCAACGGTCCTAATAAATCTGACTTTTTTTTATGTAATACAATGCATTTCCTTATAATTTCTTTTTTTTTAATTAAAAATATATATTTTAAATAAATTTAATATATGTTAAATAAATTTATTGGAAATATGGCCGAGTCCTAATAATAAAAAATATGTAATGTACATTAATAATAATTATTATGTACACGTTATTCTTTGCAGGAGAAAAAGATAAAGAGTTTTGGCGGTGATTCTTTACAAAAAATAAATGACTAATATATTAATGACTAATGACTAATATATTCGTCCCTGTATAAAATAAAATTTACTTGTTTCTAATAAAATTTATTTTACTAATGTCAATATGTATATATTATTCGTAGGAGTTGTAAGTCGTACAAAAGAACCAGATTGCACAATCGCATTAATTATAAAACATATAAGAAACTGGTTGCAGCACTCTGGAGACAAAATGCGATATCGACTGAAGAAAGCACAAGCTCTTGAACGAAATTAATAAGCATACGTACATAGCACCATCGTAAATATTATACACATAAGTATCTTAATTCTTTATCTTAATTCTTTATCTTAATTCTTCTATAATCAAAAAATTGGTCTTGATTATTAATTAATTAATAGCATTGGCATATAGGTTGTGTAATTATGCAAGTATTTTACACATTTAGTTGTCTGTTTTATATAATTATAAAATAACAATTGTACTCCATAATTAAATTTGTGTAAATGTATGCATCTTTACACATATATAATGCTATGATGCTAAAAAATACTTGTTTCGTACTTATGGTACATAACTGTTTATGTTAATTAAAACACGAAACATAAGAAAAAAATTTAAGATGGCGATAAATTATAATAGAAATAGATAAGTAATGTATGGATTGTAATTAATGAATGGTGATGGGATATGTTCATATGTGTATACTACATGCTTTGCGTCCAAATATGATAAACTAAACAATTTTCTGAACGATGTTTATCAATTCTAATTCATATATTCTCAATTCTAATTTTTTACTAACTAGGAAGTTATTTAGATATTTCTACGAAATTATTGCATATATTACACATACAGTAATATAATACTGATCATTTATGAATGTTGTAATACTATATTTGATTATAATTATAAGTTTTTATGTATAAAATTCACAAATATAATTTATTATATTTTATAAATGAAGTGTCTATTTCTTTATATAAAAAAAAACAGTATGACAATGTTAAATTTATTAATTAAAAATTGTTGTTCACAGCGCGAGCGCGTTGAAAACAGCAATTTTCAATTAATAAATTTAACATTGTCATGCTATGTAACTTTTAAGATCTACAATACGTTTTTCAAGATATCTAAAAGATATCTATTAGACATCTTTAAAACATTTCAAACATCTTCATCGGATATCTAAAAGATATCGTTTAGATATCATTAAAGCATTTCGAACATTTTCGCCGGATATCTAAAAGATATCTTTTAGATATCTTCAAATTCGATATAAGATATCTAAGGATATCTTTAAGATATCTCTAGATCTATAAAAGACATCTCTAAATGTTGCATAAGACATCTTTTAGGGATCTAAAAGATGTCTTTTCGTAAAAAATGAAAGACATCTGAAGACATGCCAAGACATCTTTTAGAAATATAAAAGATATCTTTTTGTCTATGTAGGATCTTTTAAATCCAATTCTTGTTTCAAAAAATCTAAAACCATTTTCAATTTTTGTTCATCGTGTAAAAATCGTTTAGCTCGGTATTGAGGATGTAGAAAATTCGAAGTTAGCACAATTGGTGTTAAGACTTTTTTCAGTCGGTTACGCAGCTTTTGTTGCATTTCGTCATGAACTGTCGGAATTTCTAATTTCAGCTATTTTTCACATCCGTCGGCTATACTACAATCAGATCGCTGACAGACATTTATCAATTGACATATCGGGTCAAAAATCAAGATAAAATCCTGTATTTGCGTCACAAATGAGGGATCCTTGAGCAAGCTCTCGTTTTTACTGCTTAGTTGGATCTTTTTGTTAGCAATTATTTCTAGCATCAGAGGTAAATTTTTCAGCAGACATCTAAATGCATCTCGATAGCTGCACCACCTTGTGTCACATGCTAAAATTATTCTGGAGCCTCCTCGTTGCTCTAATTCATATTCTGCAGCTGGTGTCTTGAATGCATGCAAAAGTTGTTTACATTCTTCGCATATGTCTCAGGCACAAAGGATTTTGCTAACAGATTGCCACTATGACTTTGACAAGTAGTATGCCAAATATTTACTTTCTTCCCCATCAACATCATTGATGATGCATTATCCGAAACAACAGCATACGTAATAATATTAAACTTTTCTTTTGCTAATTTTATTCCCTCGTTGACAATTTCTTTGAGTTGATCACCAGTTTCTTTCAGTCCGATTAAATCCCAGGATTTAAGAAATATGCACTTAGAGTTTACTGTATGAACTGTGCAAACCATATTTTTCGTATTAGCTGATGAATTTTTCCATCCATCAATCAATAGAACTCCGTTGGATTCAAAAGATGAGACTCTATCAAACAATACATTTTCATAAACCTTATCAAGTAGTTTTGTCGAGTTTTTTTCTTGTTGGAAGTTTATATGTTGGAAGCAGAAGTTTTATAAAATTTTTTAAATATTGTGATTCGATAACATTAAATGATATGTTACACCCAAAAAAAATTGAGCTAATGCTAAATCTACCTCTTTTATATCAAGCGCTTTTAATTGTTGCTTCTGCTTGGATTCCAACATTTCCAACTGCCGTTTTTTAAAAGTTGATTGATTCATTATTGACTGTAAATAAACAATTAGTTTTTAAATCAGTTTTTCTCACACGAATAAAATTAGGAGATATGTACGTGATATTAATAGTTCGTTGATTACTTACTTGACTGATTTCATATAAACTATCAATCTGTCTTGGGCTTTAGAGGTTAGAGACGTGCAGACATGTATATTAAGCGGGGTCTACAATAGAAGTTGTAGCAGTCGTAGAGTCTTAACTAGTCTTAAGTCGTAGAAAATTAACCAATCACAGTAGAATATGAGAAGAATAATCGACTATGATCTATGATTGGTCAATTTTCTACGACTTAAGATCTTACGATTGCTACGACTTCTATTGTAGACCCCGCTTTATGTTTTATACATATTTGACGTAAAATACGTGTATATTACGTGTAACGTAAAAAACCCTAGAAATTGTCAAATGTCCCAACCCTGGTGTCATGGGCTTAATGGAATACGTAATGCGCATGCGTTCGACATCTAATTGCGGCATACAACTGATTGTAAAACGGACTTTACGGGTCTTACCGCGAATCTCGTTTAGCCATTAGTATGTCATGTGCCAAGGCTATGTAAATAACGTAAATGATTAAAATAAAATCTTTTTGTCGATTAATTACGGTAAGTTTATAATAATATTATATACATTATGCGTTATGTAAAGGTTTGTGTTGTGGCTTTAATTAAATGAATTAGTAAATGAAATTTGCATTTATGCTGTTTTTTGCATGATTTTAGATTGATTTATTTGTTGGTGTGTGATTTACAGAATATTGCTTGCTAAAAAGAATTGTTTAAGAAACTTGACTCTGCGTCACAGGCTAACTGTGTCCTTCTTAACCTCAAACCTCAAACTGATTAAATGAGAAAAGTAAGAATGCAACGTTTACTTGTTTATATCGTCTAATGAATTTTTAAATCTTATTTCGTTTCTTACTATCTCTATTTGTATCTTTGCTTTATTATATAATTTTAATCTCATTAATTAGAAACATATAATGATTATGATGAGAAGGTGTAACATAGTTGTTTTATTTTTAAGTAATATAAATATTTTTCCATATTCTATTATAGTGTCATCGAGAAGCACAATTTGGAAAAATTTTGTGAAAATGCCGAATGCGGGAAAATGTAAGATTTGCCAAGCTATTGTCAAAACAGCTGGAAATACAACAAATCTATACTCTCATATGAAACGAACCCACTCAGATGTAATGCAAATTGACAACATGTCTATGGAAAAGAAGCAAATAGTAATTATAATTTTTAACTGATAGAGAATTTTAATTTTAAGTTTAATTATTTAAATATTCTCTCTCTTTACGATTGTTCTTCAATTTTATCCCATTGATGAGTGACTCACTCATTCGTAAGATGTATATCGATGGGATAAAATTGGAGAATAATTCGAATTTAATGTAATATATATAATGAGAAAATAATAAGAATTCTTTAAATTTCTTTATTTTATATACATTATAAAAAAATCTTTAATTTAAATTTTTTAGTGTGAACACGTATGTTTCTATTAATAAAGTTGTATTGTTACGGGCTTCACACTTAAAATGCATAACAGAGTATAAGCATAACATAAGATCGCTGGACCAATGAGCATCTTATGTAAATCAATATGGCAACATTATACTGGATGCTCATTGGTCCAGTGGTCTTATGTTATGCTTATGCTCTGTTATGCATTTCATATATGAAGCCCTTTATTCATAATCTATCTCCTACAATGATAGACATAGCTTGAGAACGAGAAGGATATTAATATTGAAGATTTTGAGGAAGAATTTGCTTCATCTCCAACTCTTTCAATAGGATCAACAAAGATCAATAAAGTCTGGATCAACAAGATCAATAAAGTCTGGATCATCGACCACTGAATCAACATTGAAAATCCAATCACTGGACATTATGTTTAAAAAGCAGAAATCATTTCATGGTATGTAATTAAATGGAAAGTTTCTTCAAATCATTTATATGAATAAGTTGTTTTGAATGTAAATACATTTTTTTAAGTATTCTAATTAAAATATTTCTAATAATATATAATTATTATTATAATATATACTTTCAATATCGTATTTTAGATGGAGCCAAAGCTGCTGACATTACAAATAAAATCATCTTTATGCTGGCAAAAGACAATATGCCTTTCTCAACTGTTGAAAAAGAAGGCTTCTACACTCTAATGAAAACATTAGTGCCGCTCTATAAGATTCCATGCAGGAAAACTATTACCAGATGCTTGGAAGAAAAATATGAAATATTATCCAGGCTCATAAAAAATCAATTAGCAACAAAATACGTGTCGCTAACGACAGATATATCGACGGAACCAACACAGTAAGCTATTTAGGTTTAACGGTTCATTTCTTAATGGAAAATGAACACAAATCCGTCACAATAGGTGTAACTGAGTTATCAGAACGACACACTGCAGAATATTAAAAAAATTGGTTAGTAGACTTGACAAGCGAATGGAACATTTGTTCTGAAAACATTGCAGTCATAGTTTCAGATAATGCTGCAAATATTAAAAAAGCTATTATAGATGGATTTGGTATCGATAAGCACTTGCCGTGCTTTGCGCATACATTAAATTTAGTGGTTTCAAAAATTATTGAAGGAGATTCTACTGTAGATAATTTTTGCAAAAAGGTAAAAACTATCATTTCTTACTTTAAGAGATCAGTCGTCGCTGCAGACGAATTACGACTAAACACAAATTTAAAGTTAATCCAAAGCGTTGAAACACGCTGGAACTCAACTCATGATATGTTAGCAAAATTCGTGGATCTCAGTGAAATTATTGGTTCTATTCTATTGCGATCTCCTACAGCTCCAGCATTGCTTATGGCATTGGAGTTGCAAACCGTCAAAGAATTTATAGAAGCATTAAAGCCGTTTAAAGAGGCTACAAAGATAATATGTGGTGAAACATTTTTAACGGCCAGTAAAATAATTCCCGTAGTAAATACGCTCAAACATAAATTAGAAAACTTTGCTCCATCTACTGAAGTAGGCAAACACTTCAAAAAAGTATTGAGAGAACAATTGTTAAAACGGTTTCTAAATATAGAAAAAGTTTCGCTTTTGGCAGTTGCAACAATATTGGATCCAAGATTCAAAGATATTCCTTTCACGTATAAAGTAGCTTGCGCAAGTGGTAAAAATAAAATTATGCAATTCATGAATACTCAAATCTTAGAATTAGATCGGTTACAGGATCAAATTTCTTCTTCGATAGAAGTCACAGAAACGAATGAAAATTTTTGGTCCTATCATGAAAAATTGATAGATTTGAATAAAGTTAAACAAGGTGCAAAAAATACTGCAAATCTTGATCGTAATAAAATACCCGAAGAGTTAAGGTATTACCTTAATCAAGATGCACTCAAAATTACAAATAACATCATAAAATATTGGCGCGAAAAGCCCGAGAGCCCTTTAAAAGACAGCCATCAAAAGTTTGACCATCATAGCAACGTCGGTCCCAGCTGAAAGGTTATTTTCAAAGGCTGGAAGAATTATGTCTGAAGATCGAAATAAACTTTCGAGTAAACATTTGAGCCAGTTATTATTTTTAAGTTCTCTTGACATACGTTACTGGCATTTGGACTAATATATTCAATATATTATAAGATATTATTGTATAATGTATATATACATATATATATAATGAAGTCAAAGTTTTGACACAATTTTATTATCTGAACTTTATTATGATCCTATTTCCTAATATAAAAAATTTTGATAATGTCGATATTTTGTATCGATATTCTCAATATCGATACAACAGGTTCGATATTTTTCATGTATCGATATATTGAAGAATGATATGCATCGATACGAAATATCGATGCATTTAATTCGATGTCCCATCCCTACTCTAGTTAGAAAACTGTTACAGATTTCTCTTTCTCTGCAAGGTCTAATTTTATCAAAATTACACGAGAGAGAGAGAGGAGAGAGAGAGAGAGAGAGAGAGAGAAACATATGGTATCTTTCTCTAACGTTCACATGTATCTAACCTAAGAGGCCGATTCTGTGAGGGGCTTCGCACAATAAAAGGAACAGGGAACAGAGAACAGAGAATAAGAATTTCAACCTATTAGAAATCATGTATTGTGGAATACGCAGTGTGTATTCCACAATACATGATTTCTGATAGGTTGAAATTCTTATTCTCTGTTCCCTGTTCCTTTTATTGTGCGAAGCCCCTAACTCTTAACTACAGTCGTTGATGTCGTTGTACGTCTATTATGGAGAATAAAAAAGCTGCGCAATAACATCAACGATTGTCATTAAAGGTGGTCCACACAAATTTGCATAGCCGCATAAATGCATGCATAAAGAAAATTATCCAATCACATTTTACGTGCGTTTTTATGGGAGAAATGCGATTGGATAATTTTCTTTATGCATATCCTGCCTGCACTATATGTAACAGAAACGTGCTATTTTGGTCTTAGGTTAAGAAAACATTAATAATTTAATTTTCTGTTAAAACTGAAATATTTCTATTATAATTTTGTTACCAAAACCCTCTTAATAATAAAAA